CTCATTTGACTATCAGAAACTTTTAAAGAGATACTATAGTGTTTGGAAAACAAATCTGTATTCCTAACACCTTCTGCCCCCTCCCTCGCAAGCCCCATACACCCCCTTTTCTATAGGGATTTTACTGACGCTGGATGTCTTCATACAGAGCGCGAAGACTTCCAGCATCAGATAGGCGACCTGCAGTCCGGCAACATCCAGTTAGTGCCCAGCCAGTAGAGACAACCTTAGTCCTGCAAGGCAGGGACACTGCACCCAGACTATTTTAATGAGCTGAAGTAGTCTGGGTTACTATAGTGTCTCATTAACTTTTATGTCTGCTCAGGGCCGGCGCGTTCTATAGGCAACTTAGGCAGTTGCCTAGATCGCACTGGCCCAGGAGGCAGCAGATTTGAGTGACAAGCAGGAGGGATACGCACAGCTTCTGTTTCCTGTACCCAGCTGCCGGCGGACTGACAGGATAGATACTGATAGGTAGGAGGCTAAACAGGGAGGGAGGGCCACCAATTGGGGGGGGAGGAGGAGGAAGGGAAGGACCCCTGAGGGGGGGAAGAGGAGAAGGATCACTAAGGGGGACACCACTAAGAGGGGGGGAGGAGGGGAAGGACCACTAAGAGGGGGGAGAAAGGACCATTAAAGGGGGGGAGGTGGGTGAGGGGGAAAGGACCACTAAGGGGGGGAGGAGGGAGGGAGGACCATCAAAGGGGGAGAGGGGACTCGAGAGGACCCTCTTTTCCTCATCTGGTGGTAAGTAGGCAATCCAATATATTATTAGTGGCATTAATCTCTAATTTACCTCACATTAAAGGGCCACTATAGTCACCAGAGGCACTACAGCTTAAGGTAGTGGGTCTGGTGTCTATAGCCTGGTTTCAACAGAATGTTTTTGTTCTGGCTGGCCCAAGGCATGAGTTGTTTAAGTAGAAAAGGGGTAGCAAAAGCTAGTCACTCAGCTTTTATAGAATTACAACTCCTATAACGCATTGTCAGCCTAAGGGTAAAAAGCATTTTGGGTGTTGTAGTTCTTCATCAAAAGGAGGGCCTACTGCATAGATGATGTAGGTGCTGATAAGAGGAATTCCATATCTGGCCACCTATACTCACAGTTTTTTGTAGGTTGTAAGCATTGAGAAAGCTTTCCCCCTTTATTTTTTGTTTGTTTTTATTTTTTTTTATATTTTATATGCCAATTATAAAATTGTAACATTTTCTGTGGAATCTTGACTAATGGAAATATTAAGAAGATTGTTAATTTTCTGGTAAAATCAAGTGACTGTAAACTGAACAGGATTACTACAGAATAAGAAAGAGAGGTAAAAAAAAAAAAAAAGGACATGGAGGATGATGAGGACAGTGATACATCAGGGTCAGGAAGAATAGCTCCCAACCATCTGTCACAATCACACACAGATAAATCTGATTGTGAGTTGTTTCCCTGGTCTTTTGTCCATATATCCCATAGCACTCTCAGCTAATGTTTCATCCTAGATTGTTAAGGAACCAGAATGCTATAATTTGGTCACCCTTTCCTGCCAGGTGACATGGAATGGCAGAAGAAAGGTGTGTTAAACAAGCACTATACTTAGACTGGAGTCCAACAAGCAAAGGACTAGTCACAAAAAAAAAAAAAAAATGATGTACAAGGCAGATTTACCGGAGTGCACGAAACGTTTCGGATCACAAAAGCCTTTTTCTATAGTGTACTTAGACTGGAAACAACCCACTAGATCTCCTGATAGAGGGTCTATATTTATCATTATATACACAAATATATTCTGTATTAAATATTTTTATTACAGTTTTAATATGTATCAGTATTAAATGGACAGAGGTATGATGTATACAGTTTGAAACAAATGATACAGTGATAGCTTGTAGCATTTACTCTGCTCACAATATAAGAAATTAACTTGTCAAAAATGTGCAGATAGACAGATATGTGAATTGCATCGCTGTAAAGGTGACTGTGTGAAGGAAGGTTTGCTTTGGTGGAACAGGGTCTCATGGGGACTCAACAATGGCTGACCTACTGTGTGTTTCAGATAGGGGCCTCCATTGGCTCCTGATGTATCAAAACGTGTTAAAGGTCAATGGCAGTATGTACTAATTCCTCTAGAATACTTATGTCCTCCACCTTTCAAGCCATTCAACCCAGTGTTTTTTTGTTAACTGGAGGGACTTGTCTACCTATTGGTTTTTCATTCAGGGCTGGAAAGACTAATGGAGTGGCAGCTCCCGGCCCATGCCCATAGCGAAAGTTAGGCAGTGAAAACTTTAAGGTTTGTAAAATGAACACACTGGGTAAGAGAGATTGACATGGAGTATGTGTAGGATTAAAATGCATCCTGCAAGTGTCCTTCTGGTACCACCTCCATCAGATATAATATTGGTGTTTTAGTGTTTTCTGTCTTTATGATTCTGCAATTAAGCCCAAAAGTTTCTAATCCAGCACTGCTCCTATTAAAGTCAGTATGGCAGAGTGAACCTTTTCCCACCAAACATGCAGCGGTGTGCTCTCTGCTTCATGACACCACCAACATAGAGAGCTAAGTCTTATGCACACTCGAGAAAGGCAAATGGAATCACATATCAGTAAGTGAGAAGCTTGTTCTCATGATTTCTCGGAAATCAAGCAGTAGTGTGTGTATGTGAAGATTCTCTTCCATTTGACCAGGTAGAGGGAGATTGAGAGGTCTTCTTCACATACCCATATATAATATATTTTTCAGAATATTTGAGGTAAAAAACTGCATGCATCCTATATGCCAAATCCTGTATACTGTATATACATAGTGAGTTAGAGCCGCAATTTGACCCTGTGACAGAGATTACAGATTTCTGTCATCGGTCCAATGCAGGGTTCTATAGCTGTAGAGAGAACCCAGGAGACTATCCGTCTGCACCTCTTCCTTGTCCTTTCTCTGCCTGTTAAAACATTGCTGAGGATTACCTCAAAAACTACATCCACCACACACTGAATTCCCTACAAACACAACACTTTCCCTACACACATGCACATATACTACATTCCCTAAACACATGCACACCATCCCCTACACAGAGGCGTAACTAGAAACCACAGGGGCCCTGGTGCAAAAATTGCCCTGGTGCCCTCCATATGTCTACCCCCCACCCCATACATCTAGCACCAACCCATACAGCCCCCCCCCCCCACATATTCAGACAAACAGATACACACGCAGACACACATTCATGTAGACACACACAGACACGCGTACAAACACACATACATACAGACACACATACACACACATACATACAGACACATACATACAAACACACACACATACACATACACACAGAGACCCATACATACAGACAGACACACACATACATACACACGTACATACACACACACACATGTAGATACACACACACACATACATACAAACACACATACATACATACATGTAGACACACACACACAGACACACACACACTCACAGACACATACATACAGACATACAAACACACATACATACAGACACATAGAGACACACACATACATACAGACACACATACATACAAGCACGCACACACAGACATACACATACAGACACACGCACAGACACACACACAGATATACTGATATAGACATTCTCTATCACACACACACACAAACTTTTAAAAGAATTTAGTGACTTACCTGGGGTCCAGTGGCTGCCTCATTCAGATGGGAGTTAGAGCTCCCACTTTGACTCCCTCCTCTGTGCAGCGCTCTGTTGGCTGGGAGGAAGTGATGGCTCCTCCCAGCACTGACATCATCACTGGGAAATCCATTGCCATTGGCATTCAACACGGCCCCGGTGGTTTTTCTGCGCAGTCGGGGCCGCACCAAATTGCTGGCGGGCACCCAGGTCGCAGTGAGTGACCAGGCCCCCTGGAATGATGGGCCCAGTCACAGCTGCGACCCCCTGCGACTGCAGTAGTTCTGCCAGTGCCCCTACACACATACACTGCATTCCCTCAAGACACACCACAATCCCTATACACACAATCGACATCCCCTTATACCCAAACACACTACATCCCCTTATACCCATACACACTACATCCCCAATACACATAAATAATAGGATCAGGGAGCAGCTCCTGTGAAGTAATTCCCACGCTCAGAGTGATATGGAGGAGGGAGACATGGATATAGTGTAGTATGTTAGGATTTTAAGTGATGATAAGTGAAGAGAAAGGAATTGCACTTACAATTTTCTGGAGCTTATGCTCATCTCCAGATATGTGCGCCTGGACGGTATAATCCCCATCTATGGATATGTAGATGGTCCTTGGATGTCCTCAAAAGGGGGTCTCCAGAGGTAGTAGGGTATTTCTCCTTTCCAATAGCAGTGGGCCGGTATTTGAATAGTTAGTGATATATAAAAAAAGAGGATAGAAACACAAAATAGTGCTCTCTGGATGATACAGAATAAAATGCTAAAAGATGGAGGTATACTCACAAGTGAAGAGCAAATGGGATATTGCTCAATATATGTAGGCGTAGGTGGTATGATCCCCACCAAAGATGTCACTCCTCGAGTCCTCCAGTTGGGGGTGTTGGAGAGAGTTGAAGGGAATTATATTTAAAAAAATAAAATAATAATAAATAAAGTAAAATAGAATAAAAGGATAGGATTAGATGCTCCAATAGCATAACTTGGCATAAATCAGTAACATAAAACAGCTTTAAAATCACTAACGCGTTTCTCTTGCAAAGAGGCTTTATCAAAGTCAATACACATAAGCTGAAGTTTACTGTTATTATGGTACAAGATGTTTTATTTTTATTTTCTTTGAAGTATATGGGTACAGTTTATATTCCAGATCATCCTAAAAAAAAAAGTTAGGGATGGATTAGGTATATCATTGGGAGCATATTAGGTAGTCATAGAGAATGGACATACTGTGAGGTATAGGCTATATCCTGCAGCTCTTTTTCAGTGAAGTCGTATCATATGGCAATACCTTTCACCTTGTGGTAGTGAGAAAAATTCTTAAAAGACATGACAGGGAGGTCCAAAATAGGCTTAAATAGGAATTATGGAAGCCATATTGGGTCCTGCATATTTCTGTATGTGAATTAGCTGGGTCTTGTACCTGTGTGAGCGGGGAAAAGAACGATGTTGGATAGCAGGGAAGGTGCTGATGGTCATTTGATGGTCAGTTATAAGGTGGAACATTTAGGAAAGGATTCAGTTAAAGGCCCACATCAACTTAGGCAAGATTAAGGTATTATATTTCAGTCTGGGACTCCCCCCCCCACATAAATGTAAGAAAATCAGATTTCATATTTAAATGATGGAGGGTGGAAGCTGTATAGGCAAGGATAGGTGATGTCTAAAGCAGCAACAATTGTCTAGGATATTAATATTCAAGAACACTATCCATATTAGCTAAGTATGTGTTTATTTCAGTGGATTGCTGGAGTGGCAAGAAATAGGCTAAAAATATGGAGGAGGGGCACAGGGTCATGTTTACCCCTTCATACTACATTGAACAAAATTATAAACGCAACACTTTTGTTTTTGCCCCCATTTTTCATGAGCTGAACTCAAAGATCTAAGACTTTTTCTATGCACCCAAAAGGCCTATTTCTCTCAAATATTGTTCACAAATCTGTCTAAATCTGTGTTAGTGAGCACTTCTCCTTTGCCGAGATAGTCCATCCACCTCACAGGTGTGGTATATCAAGATGCTGAATAGACAGCATGATTATTGCACAGGTGTGCCTTAGGCTGGCCACTCTAAAATGTGCAGTTTTACTGTATTGGGGCATTTGGGGGATTCCAAAAACCAGTCAGTATCTGGTGTTACCACCATTTGTTTCACGCAGTGCAACACATCTCCTTCGCATAGAGTTGATCAGGTTGTTGATTGTGGCCTGTGGAATGTTGGTCCACTCCTCTTCAATAGCTGTGCGAAGTTGCTGGATATTGACAGGACCTGGAACACAAAAACCAAAGTGTTGCGTTTATAATTTTGTTTAGTGTATATATAGGATGTGTACCAGTGTAGAGGTGTTGTAATATGGAAGGTGGTAAAAATATTTAGAATTTCTGACTCGTTCAGGTTTACCTTGTGATTACTTAGATAACCAAATTTAATAAATAATAAATCATCTTCATATATGACTATTTTATGGTGCAAGTTCAAGTTAGGTTGTAATGTGAGGGCAAAGAGGTGGGTCACGGGCGATAGAGAAAGAGAGAGGGATCCATTTAGGATGGTGGTCATTGGCGTAAAGTAGATGAAATAAAATGTATTCGTTTTGATCAAGCTTGAAAAGTGAGGCAAACAGGAAGGGCAAAGAGACCTTTTCAAATGCCTTTTTAGCCTTAGTGGATAGTTGTAGTATTGATATGTGAGAGGATCGTGTTTATGTGTGAATGATGATGACTGTAGTGATGTTATTTTGGATCTAACTCACCAGAACAAGCCTGCACTTGTCAGGGCACACCTCCTTGATGTTATTCTGATGTGCACGAAAAGGTGGGTGGACAGTGGAGGAGTGCAGGGAGTGCAATCTGAAGGACATAACGTAGAAGAGTATAAAAAAAGATAAAGACCCTGAGGTTGGGTCGCAACGTTGCCAATTACACACAGCTGGAATAATTCTCTTTGTCATTTGTCATTGATTTTTTTATACTGTTTATGAAGTACTTTGAGATTTGCACCCAAATTGTGAGTGGAGTGCTGGCCCTCCCTATCTGCTTTGATATAGTTGACGAGTGTCAGTCCATCCATGCTTGGCTACTTACCCCAAGGGACTTTTTCAGTGCTATGAGAATTTTGTCCATTGTGAAATCTTTGTTAAGAGTATGGGACATTTCCAAGGAAAGGATGAGAAGCAAGTTCTGGTGAGACAGAAAACATTTGAACTCCTTGTGCTTATTTTTCTTTGAGCTGGGAATTCTTTACTTTTACTTTACATATGTGAATGATGCACTAATTTTTTTAACTTGTATAACTCTGTGGGGAGTTTTATCATTTTTGGTATCACATGTCAACCAAATTTACTTAGTAATTACGTACTTAGCTATATGCTGACGGATATACTTCAACTGGCAGACATACACTCACACTGACAGTCACTCACACATTCACTGACTGACAGACAGACACTCATACTGACAGACAGATACACACACATACTCACTGACTGACACACACACACACACACACACACATACACTGTCAAACAGACAGGCAGACACACACACACACACACACACACTCTTGAACACTCTCACAATTAAATTTTTTCAGGCCCACCCAGCATCCCTACCTTTTGGAGAGCTGTTGTGGGTCCTCTCCCTGGAGACCAGTGTGGGGCTGTGCTGTAATCAGGCATTTCCTCTCTCCTCTTGCACGCTGTTTAGTCTAGCTCCCACATCTTTTCAGCATATATCGGCAGAGTAGGCACCTACTATCCAGGTAAGTAGGTGCCCACTTAGCCTCACTGTGTAGGAGCCGATTCGGGGGTGCCCAAAGGTGGCCAAATGGCCATCTCCTGGACCCCATGTGAGAGGGCTCCTCTCGGTGCCCTACCTTCGCCGGCTCATGGTCACAGGGATCAGCAGAGTGATAGGTCCGGTCGCAGCTGTGACTCCTGCGACTGTGGTAGTTACGCCACTGGTTACTGGTCATCAGTCCTTTTGGATCATATCCCATGCTTTGGTATAAAAACTTGTGTTAAAATGTACTCTTATGCTAACAGAGAATATAGAAATGATAGATGAAGTCTAAAACATGATGCATGTCTTTGCTATTTTGCAAGGGGTATGAATTATATCCTTGAATATTCTTTTTGAAAAAACATATCCAGGCCTTTTTTTATTTATTTAATTTTTTACAAAAATCTATAGAATCTGGTAAGATAACCTCTCTTTGTGATGGCTGAATTTGTGTGTGTGTGTGTGGATGAAAAGTCTGAGTGTGTATGTGTGTTTGTATACATTTTTAATTTGCCCCTCCTCATGCTTATGTTTGGTACTGGTAGTCCAATGGAGGGTGAAGTGTACTGGATCCTTGGTGGTCTGGTGGGGGAGCCCTGTGAACTGTAGCAGGAGTGGTGCAGATCACTTTAAGAGCTCCCTTGCAGTTCCAGCATTCTGCTGATGACTCAGAGCACCTACTGTGATTCTCTGAGTCATTCAGGATTCTTAAGAGAGGTCTTAAAGCTAGTTGCTCTGGCTAGAGATGCAGACTAGGTCTGGGTCCTAGAAAGCTGGCCAATGGGTGATCTGGCTATGTTTAAATTTGGTACTTTCTATTAGTCACTCATCATCTCCATTTAGAATCCTGTCAGCTGTATACTTGTAAAAATGACTGGTACAATTTTTAAAGATACTTAAGGTCAACTGTTTTGTTATATTAGTCCCTTTAAATTTACCTGGAATCCAGACGCACTATTCATATCTTGAATGTTCATGTGCACTTAAACTATTGCATTACTCCATAATATAGCTTCTGGTCTTCCAAGCAGAGCTGCCCATTTCATACTATCATGTAAGTGACCTATTGCACTGTGACCCTATGCACCTGCACTGCTGAGCTTTCTGTGTTAATTTGAGTATTGCAGATGATATCAGGAATAGGCCTGGAAGCTGAAATCAGTTCAATCTTCTAATTAGAACATACTCAAAAGAGTACATTTATCATCCCCAGACATTAGGCACAGTGTCTATTTATCTAGGAACCCATATTTAAGATTGCTGATTTTACAGTTGTTTGCTATGATGCATAGAATACTTATTTACCTCCAGTATACCCTTTACTAAAATTGTAAAGCACTGCGAAATATATTGGCCCTTTGCACTATATAAATGGTAGTAATAATAATAATATATTGTGGGTTTATATTTATTAAAATGTGAATGGTGGCAAGTTTATGATAAACCTGAAATATTAGGACACAATAGTACAAGGGAAAAGTAGTTTCTGTTTGGCAGATTTAGAGATATTTTCAAACATGACTGCAGTTTAATAAACAGATCACAATTAAATTTGGGGATACAAACATTAAGTGACTGTACACTGATTGGTAATGTGAACAATAAAAAGCACAGCTTTAAATACATGGAGCTCTACTTGCTAATGTCATTATATCCAGGGTATACCCAGGTATCTCAAATTCAGCCGCCAGATTTCACTGAACTACAGTTTCATTTATTTTCTGCAGGTTCGGTGCTACGATAAGGAGTGTGTATAAGAGCCTGTGTGTGTTTGTAAGAGCCGGTGTATGTGTGTGTAGGAGCCAGTGTGCCTATGGGTGTGTAAGTAAAAGCCAGTCTGTGTATGTGTGTGTAAGAGCCAGTAAGTGAGTGTTTGTGTCAGCAAATATGTGGGAGCCAGTGTGTGTGTGTGTTTGTGTCTGTGACAGAGCTCCTGTACTCCGATCAAATACCTCCTGCCCAGTTCACTTTCTAGCCGCTTGCAGGGATCCTGGAACACTTCAGCCCCAGTTGCCAAAGCTTGACTGGGATCCTTCTGGAGTTTTTCCACCCGACCAGGCTGCAGCTCTCCTCCCATGCAGGTTTCGTCCCCTCTGCCTCATACACTGCAACCCTGCTTCCAGGCAGATATAGTCCTCTTCCGCTGCAGCCCTTCTTCCAGGTGGGTATTCACATCCGCCTGCAATGTTATAGCTCTTGCAGTGGCAGCTCTCTAATTAGGTGATTTTGGTGGCTGCCTGAGGCCTCGCGCTGGCGGGGGACTCGCGGCCACCTAAATTGCCTTAGGGCAGACTTACATGTCGCATACTCGGTCCATGACCGAGGGCCCGACATCGGGAGGGGGCCCAGCAACTTGCCCATTATGACGCAGAGTGCGAGGCCCCTTCCGAGCAGTCTGCCCTGGGAGGGGAGCACCTACAGTTTGCAGCTCCGCCGGGAGTGAGCTGCAGTGTCTCGCAACCTCCAGCCAATCAGAGCGTTGAATTCTGGAGATTACGAAACTCCTATCCATTGTAACAATAGCCCTAATTTCGATTTCAGAACTTTTCTATGTACTGGTAGAGAGAAGGTAACCCTTGACGAAAGAGGGGGGAATTTGATCAAGAAACTAAGGCAGAGAGAAGGCTATTGGATTTTTACACTTAAAACCTCCCTACAGTCAAGAAGTTCCCTTCTCTTTTTCAACCCCATTTTAGCCACTTCTGCATCTTTACACTATTTTGCTTTGTGGGAGTTGAAAGGAGGTCATTTAATCTTTAATATTTATTATTATTATTACTTATTTTTATTTTTTGCATATTTA